CCTGCCCCGCCCCGCAGCCCCCTCCCCTTCCCCCTGCCCTGCCCCGCAGCCCCCTCCCCTTCCCCCTGCCCTCCTCACTTCAGCTGCAGATCCAGCCCTTTGCCCATCTGAGGGTTCCTTGGATGCGAACCCAAAGTTCAGCCCCTTCCTTCCCCACCCCCCTCAGGGCTTTGAGCAGCTTTAATGAGGCACCAACAGGCGCTGCAGCCCCGGGCAGCTTTGCTGTGAGCCGAGTTCCCTGGATTTGCAAACTCAGCAGGACCAGGATGGTTTTCCAGGCCCCGGTTTCTGGCAGGAATCCGGGCTCAGCCCCCTGGGCTTGATGTGTTTGAGCAGCAGAGCTCCCGGAGCTGTGGGAACAGGGACAGGTTCCCACCTCAGCCCGAGTGCGAAGCTGCAACTGTTTGATTTTTTCACTCTTCCTTGTTTTAAACTTCCAGTGCGGCCTCATCTCTGCTTGCTGGGAGCAGTGGGAGGTGCTGGGAGCAGCACCTGATCTCCACAGTCTGGCAGAAGCTGCTGAGATGGTGCCTGGCAGGGCAGGGCTGTGGGTGCTGTGCCAGGGGCAGCAGGAGCTGCATTTCCCCAGCCCAGGGCACCCTGTGCCAGTTGACAGGGTCTGAGGGGTTTTTGCCCCAGTTTTTACCCCTGTCCCCGCGTTGTGCTGCTCAGCTCGTGCTGTGTGTGGGATCCAGCTCCCTTTGCTGTGGCTCCAAAGAGGGTTTTTCCAGGTGTGAGGGAGGTGTTGAGGCTCAGCTCTGGGTGCAGAGGGAGTCTGGGCTCAGCACAATGTGCAGCTCCTGCTTCATCAGCACCCACTGTCTGCAGAGGGGAAGCTGAGGCAGGGAGCAGGAGTCCCATGGGTGCCCGTTGATCCTTGGCAAAAGCTGCCCACTGTGGTTGACCCCAGGGAGCTGCAAACGTGGAGGGGGGTGGTGGGGCAAAAAGGGGCAGGGGGTGAATGCTTTTCTTATTGCTGGGCCTGCAGAGCTGGTGGCGGGGTCTGGCTCCTCTCAGGAGTTACAGGGGGTTTGTGCTGCATGTCTCTGCCCTCAGCCTGGTTCCTCTGCCCAGCTGAACCACGTGGCTGGGTCTCCAGTGCTCCAGGGGTTTTGGGAACATCTGTGCTTGGCATCTTCTGTGCTTTCAGAAACCTTCCTTGGCTGAAGATGATCTCTGTATTTCCCAAAGTGGC